TATCCATAATGTTTGACTACACTCCATACAATAGCTACAACGGCTGTACTATTAGTAGGAGGTGCGAACTTTTCGCACTTGAGATGCTCAAGAGAATGTGGGGATATGCAAAGAAGTGTCATCAGAAAGGAAGGCCGCAAGGTTCCATGAAGCCAGATGGGCATTTTTATTGAATGATGGAAGCCTTGGACAAGGAGTTCCATAGGGTGCCCGTAACTTTGCAAAAATTGGATGTGCCCCTTCAGTCTAGTAAGTGACAGGCACTGTTCTCTGCCAGTCAGATTTGTTGCTGCCTATGTAGGGCGGGTGGTCAGCTGCGCTCCACCCCAAAAGTTCTATCTCAGTATCTTTTTTGATGTTCCAAGGAAATCCTCGTGGGCTTTGGAACCATGTGCTGCTCTCTGGGTTCCCATCCAAATGATTCCCTGAGAGGCTACTTCTTTCCAGAGTAAGGGAGCAGTTTGTGATAGATGATGGTTCATCTTGGTTATATAGTGCATTCTGGGATGAGAAGCTGTACAGCTTCGCACATCTCTCCAATGGCTATGTTGTTTGGCCACCGTTGATAGTCTGTTATAGCCAGAAGTACTGGAAGTTGTGTGGTGGTTGTAGTTTATGGCTCAGCTAGGCCCTCTCATTTTCCAAGAGGATAGTCCTCCCATGGTGAGTTGGTGGAAACCGAATTTACCCATCTCCCCTCTCAACATCCATTGAGTGACTTGCTAAGTGGGCTAAGTGACTTGCCCACCCTGGCCTGCTCCCAGTCACTACGTAGAAACATGGCTGCCATGGAAGAGCTGATGTGGGAATAGTTATCGCTGTGAAATGACTAGCTTTGGTTTTCTGAAAAAACTGCCTTCAACTGTTGGCTTTTTAACAGGAAAGGCTCCCTGATCTTTAGCTTTGCCCCTGTCAGGTTTGGGGCACAGATGCTGCAAGGTCCTAGGGAGGCCTCTGCATTGCTAATGATCACCCCCCCAACCCTGTTCCCTAACTCAAAGGTTCCACAAGGTCATGCAGGTTTGCTCTTTACCTCTTTTAAATTGCTGGCGCTTTGGGTCCTGATACCTTCATATTTTCAAAAGCCCATATGAAAAATTTCCAAAGGAAAAAATAAACTCCTGGATTTATAGTAGCAGTGGCGGCGGCGGCAGTAGCTATCAAGCGTCTTTATCTTTAAACACGCGCACACACACACACTCACTCACTCACTCACTCACTCCTTTTGAGTGGCACGGGTAGTCTGTTCCAGGGTGAAGCTCCAAATCGGCCATCCTGATTTCCCAAAGTATCTTTCTAGGCCAATCTTCAGAACCTGGAGGCACCCTGGGATCAGGAAATGGAGATGTTATCCAGGACTGTTGAGTTTGAGGTCACAGCAGGAAAACTGCTCTGCAAAACGTTTGGGGATGCTGCAATCTGCAGATCCTGGCAGGAAAAAAAGGAAAGAAATTATTTTGAAAAGGAACAGGCCATTGGGGGCTGCCATAGAAGTTTGGGAGACTTGAGATTAGTTGTTCAGTTGCCTCTTTTTATCACCAGCGCTCAGAATAAGTGGCACATCTTCCCACAAAGCAACCCCCTCTAGTTTGGTACTACTGCTAATGTCCAGTAGTGTATAAGGAGCTTTTTTTGGAATTTCACCCATGTTCAGCATGAATGTCAAAGACTTGAAAATGCAAACAGTGTATTGTAGGCAGGCAAGTCGTCTGTTTTTCGCTGTTTTAATTTCCAAATGCACATGCAAAAGACATCAGCACAACACAACAGAGGATCACAACGGGCATGGAAAGGTGAGATTCTTCTTTTCAGCAGGCATGACATCTGGAGGGCACTGATTACTGTGAGCTTGCTTCACAGAAATCCTTTTCAAAACTCACTGTACCCAAACCTAGTGCAAATATTTCTGGAGGAAGCTACAGCTGTATAAACATACATAGAGGGCACAATTCATCTGGCTGTTCCATGCATGCCACAATAGTTTCATGCTTTCAATTCTGTCTTGGGAAGGATATCTTCCTGGTTTGTATAATGCCTTTGTGTCGGTGTTGACTCCTGGGAACTGCCTAGACAGGTCCCTGCCGTTTTCTTGGCAAGATTTTCAGAAGTGATTTGCCCTTGCCTCCTTCCTAGGGCTGAGGGAGAGGGGCTGGCCCAAATTTCCCCCAGCTGGCTTTGTGCCTAAAGTGGGACTAGAACTCATGGTCTCTCCATTTCTAGCCTAGGGCCTCAACCGCTATGCCACTGTGCCAATACGGCCTTGGAACTTTACAAACTTCACTTGCTTGTCCGGTTTCAATCAGTTCTAACAGGATGCAAATTACAACCCCTTTGATCCTCAACCAGAAATAGTGGCCTGTGAAATTGGGGGGTGGGGGGTAGGGAATGTTGCTAAGCAGTAAGTCCCGTGCAGGCCCTCTGCAGCTGCTACCTCTGTAGATACAGCTCTAGGCTTCACACATTAAAAACAGTGTGTGAACTGAAAGGAAAAGAGAGGGACTCAAATAAATATCCTATCCTTTAGGGCTTATTGCTATCTTAAAAAGGGTATCTCTGATTGAAAAAAGAACACAGATATAATGCGTTGAGAGGTGGGGCCATTCTGCTGGTACCCTTCTTACAATCAATCCTGTTATTCTGAGCTCTTACAGAAGATTTTGCAGTTTCAAGCATAAGCTGTCTGTGCACAGTAGCAATCTGGCTACCTCTCATTTAATATCCTGTATTTGCCTGGAGCAGCCCCATGAGAGCTTTGGGATTTTAAGGGGATAAGGACAGAAGGCTAAATAGGTGCAATTTCATACCAAAAAATAATTTTTTAAAAAAGTGAAGGACAGATGATTGGAAGTACAGGTAGTCCCCAGTTTAGGGATGAATTCCGTTCCCAAGGTCTGTCCTTATGTCGAATTTGTATGTAACCTGGAACAGTATTATTGTATAATACTGTATAAGTTGTATTGAAGGACAGATGATTGGAAGTACAGGTAGTCCCCAGTTTAGGGATGAATTCCGTTCCCAAGGTCTGTCCTTATGTCGAATTTGTATGTAACCTGGAACAGTATTATTGTATAATACTGTATAAGTTGTATTGTGTAATTAACTCAAATCATTGTGTATTTAACTTGAATCATTGTGTATTTAACTCAAATTTTGCTACAGAAGGCTCCATTCTTAACTATGGGTTGTCCTTAAACTGGGCGTTCTTAACCTGGGGGCTACCTGTACTAGATTAAGGGCAAAATGATAGCTAAGCTAGTGATTTCTGCTATAAGTGTGCCATTTCAGTCCAAAGCTAGGCTCAATGGTTACAGAGGGATACACCATGGACTTTTATTTTTTATAATACAGGTAGTTCTTGCTTAGCGACTGCCCTGTTTAGTGACTGTTCAAAGTTACAACAGTGCTGAAAGAGTAATTTTATGACCGGTCCTTATACTTATGACTGTCACAGTGTCTCCATGGTCACATGATCAACATTTGGGCGCTTTGCCACTGGCAGGTGTTTATGACTGTTGCAGCATCCTGCAGTCACATGATTGCCATTTGTGCACTTCACAGCCAGCTCTTGACAAGCCGAGTCAATGGAGAAGCCAACAGTGAAATTGCAAGTTGCAGTCATGTGATGTCTCACTTAGCGATGGAGTTGCCAGTCCCAATTGTCATTAAGCAAGGACTACCTGTATGTCTCTCTTCTTAGACGCAACTGTCTCTGTGCATATAGCAGATGCTGACACAGACTGAATGACTATCCGAAGTTACAACAGTCAGATTGCTTTATCCAGCTGTCCACTAAGATCAACTACAGGAGAAAAGATAAATAGTGAACAATCGTGGCTCCACCCATTGCCCTGTTAAATATTTTAAGATGGGGATAAGCAGCACGATGCCTTCCAGAGAGTTGTTTTACTATAATTTCTGCAGCCTCTTACTGTTTGCCAAACTGGTTGAAACTGATGTGAGCTAAGCTCCAAAACATGGCAGAGAACTTGCATTTGAAAGAGTTCAGCCTTTTAGCACAAAATTCATACAACAGCCTCCTCCACCCCAGCCCTTCATATACAGTTATATTCTTGGGATCTCCTTTTGAATGAGCTGCTGGTTAACATTGCTATGTACGCCATTGGCTTTAAGGGGGCCTTGACCTTGGTGACCATCCTAAAAGAGAGAAGTTTGCTTTTAGGAAATCATTTTAGCCAGAAACATTTGCTCTACAACAGGTTGCCTCCTGGCATATTACAGAGCTTTGTGTTATCCTGGTGTGTGATAGCTCACCAGCAATAAAAGTGCTTCAACCCACTTCGTAGATCTGTAGAATGTAAAAGGCTATCAGGAGGGGCCCAGAGGTCCAGGAGAAAAGTGTGCCCTTTTGGGGGACCCTTACTGGTATAATGATCCAGACTGCATGTCACAACGGCAAAAGAAGGCATTGCTATGAGGTCTGCTGAGTTGCTTTGACCAATGACAGGGTATCACCGAGGCTATCTTGCATGAAGTCTTCAGCTAGTGTCAGATAGTCAATGGAAAGTACATATGGCTGATTAATAAGGAGAAGCAGCCAAGAGGTCAGGGGGTTTCAGTCATATTCATAGGAAGAGCATCCTTAGAATCAATCCGAGGAGCCCATTCTGAATAGTTGAGCTATTCAGGATTCTGCATAGCCTTCAAAGAGGTCTTTAACTGGGTGTCCTATTCTAAAATTCTTTTTGATCAAGGAAACCCAGCTGGGGAGTCTTAGTACCACAGCAAAACTGACAACTGAACAAGAAAGATTGGTGCTCAGGTGTAGTTTTCAGTGTTGCAGAGAGTGTATCAAGGAGATAAATGAGAACAGGCAACAGTCCAATACTTGCTCAGGGATGAAGCATTGCTAAATTGTAGCAAGAAAGATTGATGGAGAGTCCTAAAATATTCAAAGGTTGATTGGGCAGAAACCAGTGCAGTGCACATTCAGTACAATAAAGGCAGTTTTTCATCTATCTGGGGTGGGGTGGGGGGGGAGATCTATGGTCTTCCAGATGTTCTTGAACTCTAACTTTCATCATAGCAAATCACTGGCCGTGTTCTTTGGAGCTGATTAGAGTCAAACAACATCCATAGGTCCCCATGCTATCTGCCCTTAATCTAGACCATATCTCAGAAGTCCACAGAACCTCTCAACTATTGGGGGGAAGGTAAGTATCATATATATCAATGATAAACTCTTTCCTTTTCCAAGAAGAACCTTACGAATTGCAGTTCTGTGAGGAGGCAGGGGTTCTGAGCTCAGAACTTCACTGTCTTTAACAAACTAGAGATCCCAGAATTCTCGGAGGTGGAAAGCCCTAGCAGTGAATATGACCTAACAGAAACAAATGTTTTTACTGTTGAAGTAAAGGTGATACACTTTCTTTAGGGGATTTGTTTCCTTGATGTCTAATTGGTACATTAGCACATTCCAGATAAGGGGATTTTTTGTGTCAATAAAAGTTGAGAAAAACAGACACAGTTGGGAAAAGTATCCCCAAAGTATGTAAACCTTATCAAGAGCTAGACCTCCTGCCTCTGTTCTTGATGTATCAACTAGGTGTAATGCCCTGCAGTTTAAACACAAAAAACACGGTGCTAGACATACAGCTACACAATATGAAATTGTCCATCAAGAGGACATTGGCTGAGGGGATGGTAAAGGCAGTGTAGCAAGGTCCTCCATGGTTCAATTATCAGTGCCCAGGAATAAGCACGCAAAGGCCTGACAGCCTCACATGCCTTATTAGTGTTACAGGGTCCAAACAGTTCTTCCCAATGGATTGGTCTTGCCCCTTCATGCCATTTACCCCCTCCTACACCCAGAGTGGCACATATCAGGTGGAAGAACCAAAGGTCAGGAGGTGAAGTAGGAGTTTTGCATGGAGTACAGCCTGTCGATAGGGTTGCCCACTCGAGTTTGCAGGAGGTTGGCTTCAGCCGCAGACAGCAGGCAATCACCCAAGTGGCCAATGGTGTCGCTGTCCATGTCATGGAAAACACCTTCTGAATCTAAATTGAAAAGGAAAGAGATTGTAAAAATGGCTTGGGAAGGTGAAGGTTCTCAAGCTGGAGTAAGTCAATCTTTCTTCTCTGGGAGAGAAACTTGATGGGTCAGAAAATACAACCACCACCAGATTCTTGTCGGTCTCCAGTTATTATGGCATCATGGGACCTTATGATCTGTAACTCTTGGCCCCAACTAGTGATGGCTCAAGGAAAGAAAAGGAACCATCTCCCCCCATTCCCTAAGAAGGGTGGTAGCTGTTGCTGTTCCTCACGGTTGCTGTAGCTCAATCCATGCAGGTGAACTAGTCAGAGCCAAGAATTGGCAAGGCAATCACAGCCCTCTTCCCTTTGCTCCTCTTCCTCTCATTCTCAGGGCCAATGCAAAAGTACCACTTTCAGTGTCGGGTAAACGCTCACACACAGTCATGTAGGACAGGTGCATTACAATTCACTGCCCAATAGATGTTCACAGATCACTTTGGAAGGGAGAAAGAATAGATGGGACTGATGTGGCTCAGATAGCCAAAGGCTGCCTTCCTGTTTTTGGGGAGACATAATCATATGCAACCACGTTGGAATAGTGCTGGCAAAAAAGAAGAACATGTTACAGATATATCAGAAAGAGGCGATACAGCAATTGGATATCTGGAAGGGAGAAGCAGAAGGAATTTGAGGAAGATGAGCTCACCGTACGGATGAAGATGGTCTCCTGGCAGCTGGGGTGGGGTGAGTCCTTGCCGGTACAAGTCTGTGCTGTAGCTGTTCTGATCCAAGGGAAGCAGCTGCTGCTGTGCGATCCTGGAGTAGGGCACCATGAGCCCATCTATGCCATGCACGCTGGCGCTATCTGTCGAGCAATTGGTGAAGCCACAGTAAAGAGGGGGCAAAACGTCTCTAGGAGATGTTCGTAACAATAATACTTTGATACAGAACAATGATAATTGAAGCTACTTTCTCCAAGTAGAAAGTATAGAAGTTGGGGAATATAGGCTATAACCATAGTAATGGATCAATACTTCTTAGCCAAGATACATGTTTGTAATGAAAATAAAGTCAGGAATTGCTTTTATATTGCTCTCTTGATAGCAGAAATTTCAGTTTTATTTCTTTTTAAGTAAGTTTCTGGCTTTCATGTTTCAGATAAAGAGTTAGCATGAGTGAGCAGAAACTCTTGAGTGCTTAGAAGCCAAATGTGGTTTTTGACAGAGCTTTGATAAAACTTGTCTGCATTTAATGTTAATATAACTGTCATGGCCTTTCCCAGGGAATTAGGGAGAGGATAGGTCTCTCTCTAGCAGAAGCACCAACATCCCAACAAAACTATATAATTCCCAGGGTGCCTTGTAGGAAGGTTGGAAGCCAAGATAGTTAAACTGGTTTACATTTCTGGTAGACACGTAACCAGAATACTTCTTGTTCTTCTAATTAGTCATTGCAAACACTGTTTAGTTAAAATATAGAGATCTGATTGCATAAACCAGGTTCCACACAATCACCAGAGATGATCAAATCTGTGTAAACTTTGTATATGTCAGTACTCATTGCTCTCCTATTTAATGTATGCCATACCTTACTCTCCTTTTAAGGGCAAGAATTATTGAGCCAGTATTGTTCCCTGTGGGTTTGCTGCCTGCTCTGCATCTGCAACTGTAATGTAACTGAACCACAAAGGCATTTATTGAATATTAAAATTGTCTGCCTGAAAAAGGGTTGTTAGATCTTATCACAGCAACGGGATGTTGGACTAGAACTTTTCTCTTTGCTTTACTAGGTTTCTCCCCACCCCCCCTCCCCTTTCAGGTTATTTTGGATATCTCCAATCTGAAATGTTAGCATCTCATTCATTCTCTGTGTGTGGGAATTAGATCAGAATAATGCTTCTGGGGCCTAAAGTCCATCTTATCCAATTTTGGTCCTCAGATATCTTCCCCTCCTTGCAATGGCTCTGCAACAGGCAGAATTTAACAGGTGACAAAATTCCAGTGGGGAAATCTTATTCATCCAAAATATATGTAATCCTTCAGAAAAAGATACTTGCCAGTCCAGATATACCAGATACCTTGATCCCAAGTAGGACTGTGCAAGGATTTCATTGCGGTTATATATTTATGGATTAAGTAGTTAACATGGCTGTTCTGATGAGCATGTTTTATTTTCTCAGGAGGACTGTGTGAATTTAGGGGTGGGGGCAGTGGCATTCTTCTAAGTAGATTCTGGAAGCTGGGGTTTTGTACGTGTATGTCTGAATATTAGGTGGGGCAGAAGGTTTGCAGAAATACTGGGCTCCATGCTAGATTAGTGGGCTAATTGGAACTCCCCTCTTTTTTGCATTTCTCCCTTCTCCAAATGATATGATGAAATTTGCAATTCACCCCCCCACACACACACACACACAAATTAGGAGTGTTGGCACTTCGAGGTAGTCCAGACAAGAAGCACAACTAGGAGCATCAGCACTATTTTTATTGTAAGGTTACATTAAACAGAATCTTGCAAGACTGAAAGTTCTGGAAAACTAGGGAGGGTCCCTTCTGAAGTGTTTCCCGTGCTTCCCCCCCCCCCCTCCCCAGTGGACTGAGCTCCCTCTTATCAGACCATTCCCTAGGCTGCAGGTCTGTCTCCCAAGGTCATTCCCACATACCATCACAAAATGTTTTAAAATTCAGGGTTTTTTTTGTTTTTGTTTTTTACAAAAATCATTCCAAAATGAATATTTGAAACAGATGGATACAAGACTGGGATGGTACCAGTTTCTTAATGAACACTTGAGAAAGCAACATCAACCAGAAAAAGACCAATCTACCTCTAAGAACTCTGTCATTCTTGAGATGTTGGTCCCCTCTCTTCTTACCTTCACTGTCCTCATTGCTCTGTCTGCTGCTGCGTCCATTTCCCCTCCCCGTCCCTAGACGGGGGTTTCCCAGCTGTTCTTGCTCCTGTTGCTGCTGTTGCTGCTGCTGCTGCTGCCGGCGGGCTATCTTTTTCATCTGCAAAGAGGTGTATGGATGCGCCTGGGTAGGTGTGCAACAAAGGGGGAAGGAAGGACAGAATCCCCTCCTAAATTGGACTGAGGGGGACTTTGACCTGCCCCTGCTTTGTAGATCCATTACCTCCCAATACATAGAATCAAAGGATTGGAAAGGGTCTTGGAGAACTTTTAGTCCAGGGCAGGAATCCTCAGACCATCCTAGATGATCGGTTGTCTGAACGTTGCCTGAAAACCTTCAGGAATGGAGCCTCTGCCAGTCCAGGAGGCAGGCTGTTCCACTACTTAATAGTTCTCGTGATCAGGGAAGTCTTTCTGATTTCCATAGCCATCCACCATCACCCTTTCAAGGGCTAACTGATCAGCAACAGAGCCCTGCCATGCTCTTGTGCCTGATACACAATTCAAACTGCAGAAACGGGCAAGTGTTTTAGTGGTCTGTTATTTTCATTTTGTGAGATGCAGTGAGAGCTTTCACTGAAGAGCAGCTAAAAACGCTTTCAATATTAATGAAAGTAAAAAGTATTTGCAACAGGAAAATAAATGTTATCCCCTAGTGATTCCCTCCCAGATGAAATTGCTGTTCAACAAATAGCTGTAGGATTGTTTATGAAGTTGGTACCCACAGCCATAAATTCTCATTTTGTACTTGTCTAATGGCTAAACCAGGGCTCCCCAAACTCTTCAGCTCATCAACCCCTTCATGAAGTTTCAGATGGTTCGTCCACCCCCAAACATTTATTATATGAAAATAATTTAATAAATACTACTGTAATAGTACTACAAATAATAATAATAACAATAACGAATAGTCCCATCAACCCTTGGGGGCTGATGTTGACCACTTTGGAGAACCCTGGGCTAAACCATTGTGGCTGACTCTGCTATGAGTGCATGATATATAAACATCCTCAATAAAGAAATAAAGTTGTTTAGAAATTAAAAATCTTTGATCCTGAATAAGAGCCACACTTTTATCTCAGTTTCCCCCTTTTTATATAGTTCTTGTATGGTTTTGTAACAGGTAAACATTCAGCAAGGGCAGTCATCCCCAGCTATTAAAGGAAACAGTTCACCAGGCAAACTTCTGCCTATATAACACATACCTTAGGCAGTTATGGTTATCAAAACATTGAATGAATTATTTTGATTGCTCATTTGTGTGTGTGTGTGTCTTTAAATGACAGGATATTTAGAATAGCATCCTTGAGTCAAAACATTTAAATTTTGCATGCTTTTATTACATGCTTTTCTATTATATGAAGTCTTTTAAGTCTATATTGTACTGAATTCAGTTTTCAGGCATTTCTGAAGCATACTGAGTTTGTTGTTCTTCTATACAGTGGTACCTCTACTTACGAACTTAATCCGTTCCGTGACTCTGATCGCAAGT